ATGTCGCCTGGATGCCGTCCATGATTGGCATCTTAATATCCATGAGAATAACGTCAAAGGGACAAACTGGGCTCGCTCGTAGCCGATCCAGTGCTTCTAGGCCATTGTGGGCCACTTGTGCGGAGTGTCCCATCGTTTTGATCTGCCGAGTCAAGATCTTTTGATTGACCAAGTTATCCTCCACGACCAGCACACAGGCATTAGTGTCTTCACCACCAACCACAGCGGATGTCACAGAGTTTCCTGACGGCTCTCTTGAACCTAATGTCGGTCTAGCGCCTAGACTGATGGCGGGCTGTCTCGGACCGATTTTGTTGACAATGTCCTTAATGTCGATATCGTCTGTGATACCCGAAGACATGACCGGACGTTCTACTTTGTCCGGAGTAGGAGGATTATCCGTGCCCAACTCGGATATAATGTAAAAGTGAAAGGTTGTTCCCACATCCTTGTCACTCTCCACATGGATCTCGCCACCTTGCAATTCGATAAGATGCTTGCTGATGAATAACCCGAGCCCGTTGCCTCCAAACTCGGAATATGTCTTGGGGTTTGCTTGTCTGAATCTTCGAAACAGTTGAGTTTGTTCATCAGGCGTCATGCCCACACCCGTATCCTTAATGGACACACGAAGTTAGATTTGGTCGGAGGAAGGGCTTTCGCTCTCCGGAAGTGGCGTCGGCTCGGGATGAAAATTCAAGAAGGCGGATGGTACAGCTGTTTGCGGCGACAATAGGGGAGACTTGGGTGCAGATATTACCGGAAGGGTGATCTTGTCCTTAGCTTTGACAGGTTCTGCGTCGAGTTTGATGGTGATGAGCTTTCTGCTGGACTTCTCCGTGAAGCGGATGGCATTGGCCAAGAGATTGATCACCACTTGACCTAAGCGAGTAGGATCACCCTTCACAGACCGTACGCGAACGTTCCTGTAACCTTCTCCAACGACGAATTTGCTCTCAATCTCCTTGTTCTTGAGCTCCGATTCGAACATGCGAATGATATTGGTGATCTCTTGCGCAGGATCAAAGTTTTGATAAGACAAGACCACCAGATTCATGCTGATCTTGGACATTTGCAGAACATCGTCCGCAATCTTCTTTTGGTGTAGGGCACAGAGATTGATGGTTTCGACAGCCTCAAGATCTTGTACCATCTCGCTTCCTAGCCATTCCATAACTTTTGTGACGGATCCACTAATTTCCGCCTCCTCGCTGGCGTCCATCCCATGAGAGTTCGAAGCTGTGGTGCGAAGAGAGCCCACCTCCTTGTGCATGCGGGTAAGACTATCCTGCAGAATATCGGCATTATGGTAGATACCATTGAGCGGGTTGCGTAGTTCATGACATGTCCTATCAATGAAGAGTTCCTGTTGTTGTTTGATGGCCTCGGCTTCTTCGGCACGTCTACGCTGTTGTTGTTCGGCTATCGCAAGCGCGTCGAGTCGCTGCTTCTCTAGCAGCCGCCTTTCGGTCACATCCGTCAAGGCGCCAATAAAACCTTGCACCGCATCGTTGTCGTCTTTGTTCACAATGATTTGACAGATACACCAGCGCTCGGAGCCGTCTGCTTGCGCCCATCTGTACTCGATCGTGCCAGACTGGCCCTTGTCGACCAGTTGATCTAAAAAGCCAAAGACGCGATCTCTATCACCAGCATGCAAACTCGCCTCGTATCCAGCCGCTGAAGGGTCTCCTTGACGATCATGACCAGTGATCTCTCACCACTTGTCGTTCGCATAAACGATCTTGCCCTCCGGATTCAATTGGAATATACCGACAGGACTCAAGGCAGCCAGAATCTCGTATCGATATTCGCTCTCCTCGAGTGCCTTGGTCCGTTGTCTGACCCGCTGTTCAAGCTCAGCCCGTAGCTTACCGAGTTCAAGATGCGTATGAACACGAGCGATAAGTTCTTTAGCGTTGAAAGGTTTGACGAGGTAATCATCGGCGCTAGCTTGTAATCCGTCCACGCGTGCCTCTTCTCCAGCTCGAGCAGACAGCAAGATAATGGGTATGTACTTAGTTTCGGGTTGCGAACGGAGTACCTTGAGGAGACTGATTCCATCGAGAATGGGCATCATCACGTTCGTTACGATGAGATCGGGCGGTTCGCGCATGGCTGCTTCCAGAGCAGCTCGACCATCCGACACAACCTTCACTTTCCACCATCGCGATAAAATGGTCCTGATGTACCTCTGCATATCCGGATTATCGTCCGCTAAGAGAACCCGGCAACCTTTGGACGTCATGGGGATGCTGCCACTGGTCAAGCTTTGATTTTCGGTGGAGGAGGCGGTTTCCGAAGGTTGCAACTCTTTACTCGATTCGCTGTCAGAAGAGAGCCACAACCGTGCTTCGTCAACAATTGCGGAACCATAAGGCCAAGTACGGTTGGTCACCACTTCATCTATTGGATCTGCAGCGTTGGCTTGTAGTAGTGCGGGGTTATGATGGGCTGTACCGTACGGTAGTGTGACGATGAACGAGCTTCCCTTGCCGAATTCACTCTCCACGTCCAATGTACCACCCATCACCTTGACTAACTCCATCGTCAAGGCAAGCCCAATGCCCGTCCCTTCATGACTTCGCCCACGCTGGCCTTCAAACCGATGAAAACGTTCAAAGACGCGAGGCAATTCATGAGACGGTATGCCGGCGCCGGTGTCGTAAACGGTGAACGTAGCTTTGCTGTTGTCGGCCGATGGACGAAGTGATACTTTGATGGTGCCCTTGAGAGTGAACTTGAATGCGTTGCCGATAAGATTGAAAACCACTTTTTCCCACATGTCCCGATCAACCCACACCTTTCGACCATTCTCCTCGCAGTCGACCTCAAAGTGACACCGCCTCTCTCTATAGCGCTCCTAAATACGCTGGCTAGATCGGCTGTCAAAGCACCCAGGTCTGTTTCGTACAGACGAGCAGTCATGCGGCCAGCTTCCACTCGAGAAAAATCGAGAATTGAGTTGACGAGACGCAGAAGCCGTTGAGCATTGCGATAGACAAGATTGATGGCTTGCTTGTGCCCGTCTGGAAGTGGTGCAGTGGTGTCGCCAAGACTATCTTCAAGAGGACTGAGGATAAGCGTAAGTGGTGTTCGTAATTCGTGTGAGATGGAAGAGAAGAAGGAGGTCTTGGCCCGATCTATGGCTATAAGCGCTTCCGCCCGTTGAACCTCGCTTTGATACATTTTCACTGTGACCAAAGACGTACCGATTTGACGCACAAGCAAGTTGCAAAAGGTGGAGTAATCGTCGTCGTAAGGGCGGCGCACATTAAGTCCCATCACGAGCACACCGCTCACCTCCTTGTAGTCATTTGTAGTTATAGGGTAAACGATGGCCTTCTTGATGAGGTCGTCAAAGGATCGGCCTTTGATAGATATTCCCAGATCGGCGACATCAACCATAACCGGCTTTCTCTTCTCGCATACTCGTTGGAAAGGCCACTTGAACGTACGTGTCTCTGTTGTCTGCGGGATTGACGAGTCGACTGTGACTTCTTGAGGGAACTGCGGGTGATCTGTAGAGAGACCGACAACTTCTTGCAGTTTGAGAAGTAAATTGGCTGGTACGTCGCTTCGTGACTCTTGCTCCGTCTGAGATTCGTCGTGTTGCTCAAAGTTTTCCGCCGTGTAGACGTAAGCGAAAGGACAGTCGAGTTGGCAATTTGTCAAGGTTTGTGCGAGTGCTGCACATACCCCAGACATTGTGCTGGCTGTTGCCATTTTTTCGCCGAGTTCGCGGAGCGCAATCAATCTCCTGGTTATGAGTACCTTCTTCGTTTCGTCGAAACAAGGATTGAATAATCCACCGACCGTACCATCCTCCTTTCTGATTGGTATGTAAGCCCAAGTGTAATAAGCTTCCTCCACGTCTCCATAACGTTCCATGACGAAGAGATCCGATTCGGCATACACTGGGGTTGCCGTATCCATGACTGACCTAGCCAATGGTTCAAGTCCAGACCAGAGTTCAGACCAGGCGACCGCTCCAGACATGCCAAACATTTTAGGATGCTTTGTACCAGCCACCGGTATGTAGGCATCGTTGTAAAGCATGACGAAATCATCGCCCCACCATATCGACATGGGAAACGCCGAAGCCATCATCATGGAAATGGTTGAGATGAGAGATTGAGGCCAATTAGAGATTGATCCTAGCGACGTGCTTTCCCAATTGAATTGTCGTAGCATGGATCCCATGATGCCGCCTCCCTGAAGAGCGAGAACAAGGCTCTTCTTGTGTTGACGCCAACCCTTGCTATCCAAACTTCTCCGTATGCGTGGCTTGCCAGTGTACAAGTGTGGTGACTCGTTTGGCGAAGATAGGATCTGCTTCTGTAAAGCGGACGTTAAAAGTTCGCTCTTTACAATCATAGGCGGGTAATGCACAGTTGGAACCAAGTGTGTCGTGGATTGTAACTCGGAAAGACTGGATAGAGATGCAGTCGATGTGTGCCGAGACCGAGAGGTGGTAACGGTGGTCGTCGGCGTAGTGACGCTTCCTTGCGGGGAGCTACTGTCCCCAGTTGATGTCGTGTCAGAAAAATTATCGCTTGGAATGGTCACCACACCACTTAATATGGCATGACCTTGTATGGCGACAGCCGTCCATTCCACGATGAGATCGATGTAAAAGTTCAACCTTGTGCGAAAGCCTCTAGGAGATCGTCCAGTGCGATACACAATCGTTAACCAATCTTTTAGACCTTTCATTCCAGCTTGAATCATAGACTCGACTGTCACACCATCACCGCCAGTTGCGGTAGCACCTCCAAATAATCCACCAAGGCCACAGGGGCCATAATGATAGAAACTGGAAAGGATTTTCGCAAGCCTGGAACCAAACGATGAAAATGGATCTATGATGACATTGGTCCAGGCGCTCCCGCCACTCGGGTTACACACGATCTCCGGAGTTACCTTACCCGATCACGTGCATTATGAATTCACGTGACATTTAAATGATAGGTAGTACCAAATTTTCTCCAAAAACAGGAGCTCCCGTAGTGTAGTTGGTCTATCACCCAGGACTTTGAATCCTGTGACCGCAGTTCGAATCTGCGCGGGAGCTTGAATCCCAAATTTTTTGGTTCACCTCGCGACAATACCTGGTAAAGCACTCTGTCGGCCTACAGAGATATTGACGATAGGACAGTGCCTCCTTTCAACTAAGTTGTTGACCTGAGGGTGATATTTTCACCGATGATTGGAGGGTGGGAAATACCAAAATTAAGTCTCCTGGTTGATGAAGCAAGCACCTCAGAAGCAAGTCATAGCGAGCTACGCGGGGCCTGAGGGCCGGTAACAGCAGACGTCGATTTATACACCGTGGACGGGTCGACATGCACCTTTCAGCGAGGTCGAACGTCACGGCATTCACAGATCTAGAGAGAAGCACGCGGCTTAGGCAAAGAACTATGCAAGTCGGTAAGGTTACCTCTTTGGTAAGTTGAATGAAAATATAATACTGTATTCATGGGACGTATCGTATGAATTCGTCCAATGGCTTCATGATCCTCTAAAAGTCAAATACAGCCATGCAATCCCTAAATGGAAAAGCTTGACTTGCCGAGATGTTGCTGTTCTGCTTCAATACATCCTGTTTCTCTTCTTTATCCTTTATTATGGGCGAAGCTTTCAAACAACGCTTACTCGCGCTTGACCAGAATTACCCTGATGCTAATGAAGCAGAGCGGATGCCGGCTCGCCAAGTTAATCTTCGAGTACCTCAGCAATGACGACGGTAAGTTTCTTTAGCCTATTTTGCTACGCTTCTCCAGGAACTGATTACCCGCATCTTCGCTTGCTAATGATTCGCGCGACATATACTTGAATTGAGACCTTCTCACTTCAGAAGTGTTGTTGCTTGCTGTTGGTTATGCGGCGGGGAAGTTGGCCAGGATTCTCTGAGTTTGGTTCAGTCATGTGCGTGCAATCTGTCTATGAAAGATTAGGCGATATCATACTGACGCAACCAGATGTGACTCGGCATATGATTGTGAATAGAACGCCAGGTAAAGGCGTGGTTACCTGTCACGAAGCATATTCAGATATTGCTTATGGATCCCTTTCATAGGGATCGGCGAAACATATTTTGGCCACTATATGCTCTGGCATATCTAAGGAATCGATACAATGAGGCAACCGCTGTATTCCAAGTCACGTAACGCATGACTGGGTAGTCAAATGATGCAAAGAGGGCGGTATCAATGATTGTAACAGAATCCCGGCATTCAACTAAGTACACCCTCCAACAATATTACGCTATTAATTCCGATCAATCACAATACATCATAGGTTTGCATTTTACATGAAGGAGGTATCAAAAAGCCATAGAGATCGACGCTGACATTGCAATGGCACCTGTATATGCCCGCGTTTGGGCGTCGTTTGCGTTTTCTCTGGCGATCATGATGTCGTCAATCGTTGCGCAAATACCAATCATCAAGGCTGTATCCACGCCGGCGGCCACGTCCAGAAAGTAACCGCCTCTCCGTGTGAGTGGTTCGTTTTTCACAGTCCAAACACGGGCAATGGTGACCTTTGTGGGAGGAGCGTCACCACAGTCTGATGAGTGTAAGGGATATTCCAAACAGATAATTGCATCCTTGAGAGACCAGGTGCCTTCCACCGTTGCCCGAATGGCATGTTCTGCACCGTCCGCCTCCTGGCAAAGCAACGTCATGCTGGATAGGATGGGCCAATAACCTTGAATGGTCGCGTCAAACAATTCCCTGTCCGGCCGAGCCGCACCTTTGGCGCGATAGTGAGCGTTACGAACGCCGCCAGTTCGTTCGATGGTCAAGATGGACGTATCCTTGCCGTCCAAGAGTTCCCGCTTGAACGAAGGGAGCGATCCCAAACCTCTGAACCTATAGCATATCTTGCTGGCTCCAGCTTCCTTGATAATAATCAGGCGTGCATCTTTGCGTGGCACGTAAAAGGTGGTGTTTGTATGAGCGACGAATTGAGGATGTGTAACAACGAGCGGATTTGGTAGCGCATAAAGACATATCGTGTCGTACTTTGGTTTAGAAACCGTTCCACCCATGCTCTCGTATTTGATGACTCGGGCGCTGGTTGTGGTCGCAATATATACATGCGTCGGCAAAGCGTTGCCTAGTTGGTCTGAGCCTTCTCACATGGCTTTTGACGTTGTACAAGTCTTCGGGGGGAACAAAGTCATGTTTCCGCATCCCTTCAGATTAGGCAAAGTCTGATCTCGCATCAATGACGTTCATTGTCATCCCTACATCGTTTGCTTCTATTACAGAAAAGTATACACTAAACTACATGTTGGGCATTGATCTCTTCGGACAACTATCGTGTATGATCTTGACGGATCACAATGGTGTTTCATGTCAATGGTGCTATTGCTTTGTCCGAGTCAGACTCTTACCATGCTTTCCGGAAAGTGGAGACATCTTGCTGGTGTTCGTGGTGCCACCCAAGAAATTCGCCACCTCACGGATTGCAACCCTGCTACCAAGAAAAGCAAGATGTATACCTGTCCTCCGCCGTTTCTGGGAAATCTCAAGCAAGTCGTGCTTTCTTCGGACGTAGCGCGGGAATTCAATAATTGTGATTATCCGCAATTTCTATACTACTTGCGTTCAAGCCGGCATTTCTTTCTCATTGAACAAAAATACGTTGGACCCACAAATACAAAGTAAAAACATGTATATGCAAAGATAATAAACAATGTATATAGACAGAGAGTAGCTACGTCTAGTGTCCACCGGTAGTAGGAAGACCGACATACACCTTGAATGTATCGTAAGTGAGCCATTGCAAGGCAGTTAAGGTACCAATCATGGCAATACGAGTTGACAGTCCAGTCCACAAACCCTTGAAACCGAGTTGCTTGATTAATTGCCCGGCAGACATGGATGGGCCGCCGCTGACATTGTTCATCTTGCTGACAAGGGTATCAGCAGGATGAGAAACGACAGCGCATAGAATACCGGCAGCGTAACCACCAATGAAGGATACACCGAGTTGTTGGAACTTGTTGTATTCTTCCTTGGGCTTGCCCAGTTTCACGTAAATGTACTCGACGATACGCTCAAAGGAAGCAAATTTCATCATGGTGTAAGGAATTTGTCTAGTCCACAAGGGAACGATACCCTTGTAGAAACCGTGAAGACCTTCGGCATTCTTGAGTTTATTGAAGCCCTCGCCCACTGACTTGGCATAAGGCGGTATTTCGGTTTGCATGCGGACCTTGAGTGCTTCCATAGGACAAAGCAAGATGTCGGCAATGAATTCAGCCGACGCCGAAGCTGCGAGATAGAGCGACGTTCTGTAATTTCTGGCTGTATCCTCACCCACCATTTGAGCGTATTGATATTTAAAGACCTATTGAAACCGTTCAATGTCGGCCATTCTTGGACATATCGTTCCGAATGCATACCTCGTAAAAGCCGTATTTACCCATTCCTTGAAGGGAATAGCCAATAAAGGTCGGACCAACACCAGTAAAGACACCACCAAATCCTTCACTCTTGATAATCTGCTTCCAACCTTGTAGATTACTCGTGTAAATCTTGGGATCCACTTGTCGGCGGCATTTCACCAAATCCAAAGGCGTCACAAGAGAGTGCGTAGGTCCACAGGCCAAAATACCACCGAGCCCACATGCCAAAAAGTAGTTTGTAGAGTAGAGTTCAATGGGAGCAGAGGCGACAAAGGCCTTTTCGTTGATAGAACTCGCTACGAAGGTCCAAGGATCCTGACGAGGTTTAGAGGACACTGGTGTTGTCAGGGCAGTACTTAGTGTCTCTTGCGAAGGATAAAGTGGCATCTTGATCAATGAGCAGCAGAATCGATAGACAGGAGAGAGAGAGAGAGGAACAAGAGTAAGGTGTGAAATAAACGCGCTTCTAATACTCGCCGAAGTCCGGACTTGTGACTTGCAAATTGGCTGATGGATTACGTCAAATGTCTTCGGATGTACTGGATGTCTTCACTTGGCTTGCGCCATCAATGACCTATATTTTGCGTTAGCTCTTGCTCCAATTTGCACTTATGACTGATCAGGTTTTAAGGAAACGATACTTGCCCAGTATCCTGACTTACAACAGCGGTAACTGTTGCGGAAGATTCGGCTTTACGCTTACGGCTGCGCTGGAACCTTAGTGAGATGGCTCCATGGCTACGAAGGTCACAGACCATGTGCCGAAAATTGTTGACAGCCAGCATGTCTCGGTTCCAGAGGCGCAATACGTGTCCTGCCACAGGCTTCAAACATTTTTGATTTTTGCATCTTAAAAGACCGTGGCAGGTCACCGTTGGATGGCTGGAGCGTCGATAGGGCCGGGGATTGGTTACCTTCTTGAACGTTTCCACGCTCTTCTGATGACAACTAGGGCAGTACTTCGAAGTGTTGAACTCGTCTAAAAGATAGACTTGATATCCTTTTTTTCGAAGCATGTTTCTCATGCCAACCCCACGAATTGGTTCATGATATTAGGTGTTTGGAGCAGACCAATCATCCATAATCAAAACAGCGTCATTGCCGAACTTCTGTCGTATACTTCGAGCTAAGCGATCGTCAGCTTGCATTTTATTGATGTATGCTGATAATCGAAGTTTTCGAAATATTGGATGTTGTGATGTGTGGGTCGACATCAGGTCCTGGTAGTGTGCCACCATTGTTGATGATGCTTCCGTTCTCTTGCCTAGGTACAGTCGGTACGCCTCAGGGTCGATCGAACTTTGCGTATGAAGTGCAAGAGCATTCTCGGCTTTTTGAACATCAGCAAACTGTTTTTTAAGTTTTTCTCTCAGACGTTTGAACCGGCCTGATCTTGTCTCTTTTGCTTTCTGATTCCTGGTGTACCGGTACGTGAGAGGAGCTTCAGGCGTGCTATTTTCATGCATTGCATATAGCAGGTCGCGTCGACCGGGATCCATAAAGACGCATCGGCCCTCTGTAGCGTCTAATTCTTGGCGCTGTATTTTATGAATGTACGGCTCGTTGTCTTTGACCTTCATCTTGTTTCGTCTTTGACCAGATCCTCCCTTCACTGTGTCGCAGTTCTGCTTAAGAACAGTGACACCAACTCCATC